AAGGAGGAGGCTGCAATGCTTGGTAAGAAATGTACGCATTATCCTGCCCATGTAATTGTAACCCCTCTGTACAGTATGTTCACAAATAAAATTAAATTAAAAAAAAGAAGAAATAACTGCAAACAATATATTACCAAAAAAAAAAAGAAAAATAGTGAGACCTATTTGTTTCTTTTCTATGCTCATTTTCTCTTTCTCTATACTAACTTTATTACATTCTCTCTCATTATTATTTCTTATGCGCCTTTATCCCATGTTTTCTTCTATTTTTGGTCTTGCTTCTCTATGTCCTTTCCCTATTCTCCTCCATTTTATTAACTACTGATATCTTTAGCTTTCATCATTTTTAATCTCCTAGTTTATCTAACAAACATCACAGTTGCTCTCTCTTCTCTTCTTTCTTTATGCCAGTACCAGAGATCAGGGACTCATGTCTTCTTGGCTGATGCTATATTACTTGAACCATTCTTCCAGCTCAGTTTTTTGTTGTTGTTATTTTGGAAATGGAGCCTCACAGACTTTGCTGTCCAAATTGGCTTCAAATCTTGATCCTCAGGGTCTTCACTTCCTGAGTAGCTAGGATTGCAAATGTGAGCCACCAGTACCCAACTAGGCTTTCTTTTCTAATCCTATTGGTCTATATATTTGATATTTCTAATTGTTTATTACTACATTTAATTACCTGGCTTTTGAACTGTTGTTTATCTTACTGTTGTCAGTTTCATCTCACCTAAGTGGCAATAGGGATTATAATCTCAAAAGCAGGCTGCCCACTAAGATGACCCTCATAAAATAAAAATAGAGGGGGGGGAGAAACTGAAGGACATGTTGATTCTAATGGATGCACAAATTTCAACAAAGAAATATGTGAAATTAAAGCAGCATCACCCTTACAAAAGTTCCTCCATAACTGAACCTAAAGATAGTGAAATGGTTAAAATGCCAGACTAAAAAAACCAATCTAGTTTTAAAAATAATCCCAAAGAGCTCAGCACCAGTGGCTCCTGCCTATAATCCTAGCTACTCAGGAGGCTGAGATCTGAGGATTATGGTTCAAAGCCAGCAGAGGCAGGAAAGTCTGTGAGACTCTTATCTCCAATAAACCACTCAGAAAACCATCAGTGGCGCAGTGGCTCAAGTGGTAGAGCGCTAGCCTTAAGCTGAAGAGCTTAGGGACAGCGTTCAGGCCCAGAGTTCAAGCCCCATGACCAACAAAAAAAAAGAGTCAGACTGAATCCTCCTTTTTATTTTCCCATTGCCACACTTAAGTCATGATGTGAAAATCCATGGACCTAACAATATGTCTCTTAGAGCAAATCCATTCATTAGTGTGAGACCTCATATCTGATATCACCAAACCACTCCCATGCAATCTCCACTTCAGATTTGACTGACTTCTTCTTAATGGTCACTTCCCTTGAGGATCTTTTTCTAACTATACAATTTTTTCCTTGCTTTACTTCATATGTATTCAAAAAATCTGAAAAAATTGATTCTCATTCAATCCAGTCTTCCTAATTACAGCTTACAAAACAAAGTTAAGTGTGTCTTTCTATTCCTTCAACATATTTTTTTTGAGAATACCAGGATTTAAATTTAGGTCTTGCACTTACTGGGCAAGTACGCTAATACTTGAGCTATGTCCTTAGTTAAGTATTTCCTTTCAATCTCTATATGGTGGCCAATAAAATAACAAGTGAAGATAATAGTGTAGTGTTAAATGCTAACTATAAGACTAAGTGCAACAGCTAAATTGAAACATCCATGATGAAATACAACTCCTAATGAAACTGTTACAATGACAGCATTCTTAATTTCTCCAAATAAGAAAATAGCATTTTAAAAACTTTGTGATTTTTTTTCCTTTTAAGGATTTAAAAAATTCTGGTTCAAATACTAAAGTATTTTCAATTTCAAATTCAAATCAAAGCACAAGACACTTTTAGTATCTATAGCATATAGTCAGGAACCACATGGGCCCTTAACTATGCAGTCATTAAAAGCCAATGAACTTTCACAGCTAGAAGACAGAGGCTTCAATATGTAATAAAGGATTGGAGACACTTAATTTGTAAAGTATGATGCCTCAAATTTTGCCACTGGCTAAAGTAAAAGAACACAAGTTTGAAGGAAATTCAAGCTAACTCTATGGCCTGCTTGCCAGAGATTGGAAAAAGAAGTTCTCAAATTTTTCCTGAATCAACTATTTTAAACCAGTGTACCAAATTGGTAAGGCATAATCATTATTTGACCAAGAGTTAGTACCTTTTTTTCCTCCCACAAATGTGAAACAAGAACAAACAACAAAAAGACTATTTGATAATTATATACTGATTAGGTAAAAGGGGGTGTCAGTGAGCAAGATGCTTTGTAGTATTAAATGACACCTACTCTGTACAAATATTTAAAGACAACAAAGGGTTTTTTTATTTAAAAATTAAATAAACTGATTAAGTGAAAATTTGGTACCAGCTGGAGGAGTATATTCTTCTTCAGTCACAAGCCAGGCATCTCGGGCAGCCACGGAACTGGTTCCTATAGCAGCACTGGTAATGGCTTCGCCAATGGTGAACTGAAGTTCTATCTGTTTGGCCTACAAAGAAGGAAGCGATAGCCATTATTGAAAAGTGATATTTCCTAAGAATATCATTTCTGTAGAAAAGCTGCTCAATATTTTTGTTCTTGATATGCTTTATTTACACTTTTTTTTTTAGTATTAGGATTTGAACTTAGAGCCACATGTTTGCTAGGCAGGCACTCTACCACTTGAGCCACAACAACAATTCCTTTTGCTTTGCTTGTTTTTGTTTTTTACAAAGAATCTCACTTTTTGTCCAGGACAGTCCAGCCTAATGCAGGGCAGTTCACAATCCTCTTGCTTATTCTTCTAACCATAACTGAGATGATAGGCATGTGCCACCACATCCAGTTTATTTCTGTTGAGGTGGGGTCTTGCAAGCATTTTTTTGGCCTAGACTAAAACTGTGACCCTCCAGATCTCAGCTCCCTTGAGTAGCTAGGATTATAGGTGTGAGCCACCATGCCCAGTTTATTTTTCATTCTTTTTGCTGGTATGCTTTCAGCTGATGTGTTAGTTTAAAAGTGTGTTAAAATGAGTATGGAGAGAGGATTGCTGGAAACTTGTTCCACAATGGTATGCAAGACAGACTCTACTTTCAGTCGAGTGGACAGCAAGAAGCTGTGATATACACTGTGAAGAAAAGCAACAGGTCATGATACCACATAGAACTGAAGAATCTATTCTAGTTGGAAGGGTCAAAAGAGGCTTGTCATGAAGCACAATAATTAAAAAGGACGTATCAGGTCATGCTAAGACCTTATCCCAATGTGCTAGTACTAACTACACGTAAGTCTTCTATCCTACACAGGGCATTTAAACTACCATAGGCCAGAGCAACTGAAACAGCAACATGTCTCCCCGCATCTCATTGCCTGAATAGCTTTCCTCTTATGCTCACACTGCACTGTGTTTCATACAAAAATTATGAGGGAAGGTCTTTTACAGATAGATGATTTGTCATTTATAACTACCATAGCAACAAGTCTTAACACTAGCATTAAAAATTAAGTGTGAGGGCCGGGCGCCATTGGCTCACACCTGTAATTTCTGGCTACTCAGGAGGCTGAAGTCTGAGGATCACGGTTCAAAGCCACCCCGGGCAGGAAAGACAGTGAGACTCGTAGTTCCAATAAACCACTCAGAAAACCAGAAGTGGTACTGTGGCTCAAGTGGTAGAGTGCTAGCCTTGAGCTGAAGAGTTCAGGGACAGCGCCCAGGCCCAGAGTTCAAGTCCCATGACCAACAACAACAAAAAAAAAAAGTGTGAGATGAATAAATGAAGGTTTAAGTAAAATTCTCATAGCATGCAAAATCATAACTAAAAACAGTTTTTCTGTCTGAACAATTAACAATCAGATAACACCATAAATACCTCCACAGAATCCATGAGACCTTGCAAGAGAAGTTTCTGGTGAGGAAAATCCCCATCCCCAACTGGAAAATACCCCAATGTTTGGATTGCTCGTTCTTTCATCTGGAAAAAACAGAAGTTTTTCAATTTAGAATTTGTTTTCTTTTAAACAAAGTACATAACAGCTTTATCTCAGAATGGTGTTTCCAAGGTAAGGTGACAACCTAATACATCAATGTCTATGTGTTTATTGCATATGTATAGAAGCACCCAATTTTAAAGTATTATAAAGCACTGAAGACAAAAAGACACAAAACTGAGTGATTAAGGATCCAGTTATAAAATGAAAGAGGAAAGACTTTAGACTTGTTTTCCTTTGAATTTCCAAGATTTGAAATGCAGGCTCTGGACTCAGAAGACACAGAATCAAATCACCTCTGTACCGTTAGTAGCCTTTGGAAAAGTTACTTCCCTTTCTAGGACTTTTTTCACAGAGATGACAACTCTGCCTGCTTCACTAAAACTTTAGCATAATTTGAATGCACAGAAAACACTTAGCAAGCTCCCTGGCACATTATAGTGCTCAACAAAGGTTGACAATCATCAGTTCATAATAGCTAATAAAAGCAACACTGTGTGATCACTTCAGAAAGTCAAACAGTAGCTAAACCAAGAACAACAGCATCTTGGCTTTCTAAACTTTCAGTAAACTGATTTTTCTGCTTATTAAATCATCTTATTCCTCAACACAGAGGTGCTTTGATCACCAAGAATCTTTTAAACTCCCTTAAATCACACACACAAAATAACTTGCAAAACATCCTTTACCTCAGATTATTCACATTGCTTGCTAATGCCCAAAGTTCTTAAAACCAAATTGGCTGTAGAAGGTTAGAGTCACTATAAAAAAAAAAACTTTTTTTACAAAAAAAAAAAAAATTTAGGTATTTATTACCCAGTGCTTCCATGATGAAAGAGATTTCCTGGTGAATAAAAGCAAATACATGGATGTTGTTCTTTATCATTCTTTTATAGCTTAGTAAGTCTTTCTCCCAGCTACAATTCCATATATCCATTATAATCTGTTTTGTGCATTTACAAATCTATGAATACAAAGAATTCCAGAAGGAAAGTAAGAAATAAAGAGACTTGCCTTATTTGTTTCTTTACTGGAAGGAATTCTATTTAGTAAGCTTTCAACAAGATGCAGCTTGGTAAAGCCAGATCCCTCACTTTGGATAGGGAGTGGACCATTTCTGCCAATTTCACCCAGGGCTGTACAGGCAGCAATTGCCAAAAGTGGGGATGTACTGTCCAGAAATGAACCTGTAAGCATAATTAGATAAACAGAAAAATATATTGTTTACCTTGTGATCCCCTGGCAATCAGCAAGGTATGGCAATTTTTTAAATTTTATTAAAGACAGCAAAATAAAATCAAAGTCTAGCTTTTGGTTGGCCAGTAGTTAACATTTATAATCAGTAACAAGACACCATGGCCACAGTGCAATACCATCACTACTGTCAAACTGAAACATGGGTAAATATATAATAAAATACTTGCATTTTTACTAAAAAATGTGAATTTATTTCACATCAAGTTAAGTTTTGGTCGAAAACCTTGTCCCTGTAAGGTCTACCAGTGAGACTGGTATGATGGCATATGCCTGTAATCCCTGTACTAAGAGGAGGATCTGGAGTTCAAGAGCAGCAAAGGCTACACAGTGAAACCCTGTCTAGAGGGAGGGAGGACACTATAATAAGAAATTAAAGCTGGGAAGGTGGCTCAGTGGTACAGCGCTTGCCTTGCATGCCTGAGGCCCTGGGTTCAATTCCTCAGCACCACATAAGCAAAAAAAAAGAAAAAAAAAAAAGAAATTAAAATGACATGTTAAAACTTAACAGAATTAAGTCAGAACAGACATAATGACCTATTGTTTCTGTGGCAGTCTGAATGAGCTCCTCTTGGTCAGGCAGGAAACTTGCATCAGCCTCCAGGTCTTGGTGCTCTGCCATTCTCATTTTCTTTTTAGCCAGGTATCTTCCCACTGTGAATCCCAATGCAAGTAAGGATCCATGTTGTATCTCAGGGCTCTGAATGTAACAACACAACAGTATATGTCTATCTCTTTCTCACACACCAAAGAATACACTGAATTAATTAGCTGTTATTAGAAGTATGTCTCAATAAGACAGAAGGTTAAAAAAATAAACTGGCCATTGGGTTCCACCAGATGCCAATGAATCAAACTTTCAGTTTCTAACAAAGAGAATGCTGAGAAGTAAATGAGACTTGATTTACTTCAAGATGTAGATTCCATTAGCCAGGGACTGTTGACACACACCTGGAGTCCTAGCTACTTGAGAGGTAGAGGTTGGGAGCATCAAAGTTTGAGCCTGGAAAAATGTCCAGGAGATCGCATTTCAACCAACAGTTGGATATAGTGGCCTGCACCTGTCATCCCACCGATGTGGGAGGCTGAGATCAGAAAGATGAAGGTTCCAGGCTAGTCTGTCTAAAAAAGTTCACAAGTTTTCATCTTAACAGAAGAAGCCGGGTGTGGTGGCATGCACCTGTCCTCAGCTACAGTAAGACACATATACAGGAAAACCACAGTGCATACTATGACAAAAAGTGAGACTCTGTGTCAAAAAAAAAAAAAAAATCACAACAAAAGGGGCTAGAACTATGGCTTTATCAATAGAGTACCTGCCAAGCAAGCATAAGGTACTGCGTTCAAACCCCAATAGCACCAAAAAAAAAAAAAAAAAAAATTGATACCCTAATCTCACAGACTTCAACCGGTACACTGACTTTCCCTTAACAGGCTCTTATAGCGCTCATGCTTTCTTCTGGTGTCTACCACTTCTGTAGCTAGAAAACAGCATACTGTTCCAGCACATTTTTTCCCTACTGCCAACAAAATACAATGAGCAGGTTCTATTTCTAATTTCTAAAACCTCCAAATACAAGAAACAAAATGGTTTGAAAGCACAATTTATTTGCTGTTCCAATAGTCATGGTGGTGAGTGGCAGTAACACAAACGATTTGAAAGCACAGTTTATTTGTGGTTTTGATAGTCATGGTGGTGAGTGACAGTAGAAATGAAAGAAAAAAAGGATCTAACCCTTCTGATGACCAGTTAGCAGTAGAAATTCTCATGTGTTTACCGACCACTGTATAAACAGCACCTAAATCAGTACTTTTAAACAAAGCATTCAAGTATTAACGTAAAACTGAATCAACATATTTTCTCCCTACTTTATAATTATAAATGCAAGGAAATTCTAAGTTCATCTTATAGATAGGAAAACAAAAACTAGAATCAGGTTAAATATTGTGATTTTTTTTTTGCTGTTGTTGCTTTATATGTCCCTCCCCACCATATAACCCCTGTTTTCACTGAATTTGATGTTGGTATAATTTGGGGAGTGGAAGGAAAAAAAAACTGTTTAAATAAGGATACAGGGCTGACCCACTGCAACAATGAGATGTACAAGACGCTATGTCGAAAAATGAACTTTACAATTTAGGCGGGGGTGGGGGGGGGATGTAGTTGTGGAGATAGGCGGGAAGGGATGGTAGGGGGAAAACAAAGGAGGAGGCAACAATGCTTGATAGGAAATGTACTCATTACCTTGCTCATGATTGTAACCCCTCTGTACGGTATGTACACAATAAAAAATTTATTTTAAAAAAACCTTTCTATGTTCTATCAAAAAAACAAAACGAACTGATAACATACATGATTGTCTTTTGTAGTCTTTATAAGTTGTTCTATCATTGACTTCAACTCATTTCCTGACACGGTTGATACGACCACAGAATAAAACAACGCTGCCAATTCACGCATTTCTTCTTTACTGCTATTCATCAGACTCTAAGCAGGATAGAAAACAAATAGATGCATGACCTATAACATTTTCCTGGTGAAAATATCTAACATTTTAAATTACAAAATAAATTATGCATTTCGATGTTCAATCTATTGATAACCTGAGAAATAAATAAAATATTTTAAGACAAAATAAAAGCTGACTCAGCCAGGTACAGTGACTCATGCCTGTAATTCTAACTACTCAAGAGACTAAGATGTGATGATTCTAGTTCAAAACCAGGCCTAGCAAGAAAGTCTGAGACTACTATTTCCAACTAATCACCAGAAAACCAGAAGTGGTGCTGTGGTTCAAAGTTATAGAGCACTAGCCTTGAGCAAAAAAGCTCAGGGACAGTGCCCAGGCCCTGAGTTCAAGCTCCACAACTGACCAGGCTTGGGGAGTGGGAGGAGGTGGGGGGAAATCTGAATCATATACCAAACTCTACAATGCACTTCCATCAAAAAGAGAAAAGTTTGGGAAGGATTGGGGTGGGGGGAGGATGGGAAGGGGAAACAAAGGAGGAGGCTACAATGCTTGATAAGAAATGTACTCATTGGGCTGGGTGGCTCAGTGGTAGAGCGCTTGCCTTGTATGCTTGAGGCCCTGGGTTCGATTCCTCAGCACCACATAAGCAAAAAGAAAAAAGTCGGAAGTGGCACTGTGGCTCAAGTGGTAGAGTGCTAGTCTTGAGCTGAAGAGCTGAGAGACAGTGCCCAAGCCCAGAGTTCAGGCCCCATGACCGGACCCAAAAAAAAAAAAAAAAGAAATGTACTCATTATCTTGCCCATGTAATTGTAATCCCTCTTGTACAGTATTTTCACAATAAAAAAAAAATTTTAAAGAGAAAAGTTTAAAACAGCTGAAATAAATACACAGATGGTCTAAAACAGAGGTCAGCAAAGTTTTTTTGGAAAGAACCAACAGCCTTTATGATCAAGAGGGAGACTATTCCATACTGCCATTACAGTGCAAAGGAGCACAAAATAACATATAAACAAACGAGATCTATGCGCCAATAAAAAGGTGTAAGTACCTCATTTTTTATATCATGCAACATTGTCTCTGGACTTGTTTCAAACATTTTAAAATGTAAATGGTCTGAGGATGTGACTTAGAGGGAAACCGTTTGCCCAGTATGCAGTACCATCCCCAAAATAAAAAACTTACAAAAAATAATAATAATAATAAAGTGGTAGCTCATTCCCATAATGCTAGCTACTCAGGAGGTGGGGATCAGGAGGACCATGGTTCAAGGCCAGCCTGAGTAAAATGTTTGAAAGACACCCCCCCAACCCAAAAGGAGCTGAGAATGATGGCATGCCCCTGGCACATCATCTATACAGGAAATACAAATGGAGACTGTAGGCAAAAATAAAAATATAAGGCCTAGTAATAAAGTAATGAAAGCAAAGGGATTGTAGAATGTGGCTCAAATGGTAGATAATCTGCCTGCCTATACAAGGCCCTGAGTTTAAACTCCAGTACCATGAAAAAAAAAAAGGAAAAAAAGAGATTCAAACTATATTTAGTGAAGGACCACAATGTATGACTATCTCTGATCTAAAAGATCAAAACTTATTTGGTTTCTCTTCAGATGCCATAAACATTTCATCTTTTACTAGAAGACCAAACTAAAAAGCTATAGCATTATTTTAAAATCAGGAAATACTGGGGCTGGGAAGGTGGCTCAGTGGTAGAGCGCTTGCCTTGCATGCATGAGGCCGTGGATTCAATTCCTCAGCACCACATAAGCAAAAAGAAAAAAGCCAGAAGTGGCGCTGTGGCTTAAAGTGGTAGAGCGCTAGCCTTGAGCTGAAGAGCTGAGGGACAGCGCCCAGGCCCAAGTTCAGGCCCCACGACCGGACCCAAAAAAAAAAAAATCAGGAAATAGTAACAAAGAAAGAAATCTCTTAAACAAAAAGCAATTTCACAAGATGAGATTTTTCTAGAAAAAAAATGCAAAACTTGCATCTTTTGGAAACTTCATACTTTAAAACCTAAAAATCTAAATTTATCACTTTTATCATAGCTCAGGCTACCTTTTCCAACAAGTACTGCATTACGAAACACAAGAAGTATACAAAACTGTATGAGTAATAACTGAACTGAAAAAAAAAATCGCTGTTTTATCGCAAATTCAAATTTAACTTACGTTTCTAGTTGCTAAACCTGATAACCCTTTTGTTGTGACTTTGGGACAAAAACAGTAATATATGATTGGTATCACCCATTTAGAAGGTGTGGCATCCATCTATCAAAATTATAAAACCATGTCCTCTCACCCAACAATCCCACCTGAGAGGAATCTATCTAAGAAGCCCATCACCTCATATACAAATGATATTCATTAGAGCAGACTGGAAGCATCTTAAATGGAATGGAAATGATAAAACTGTTAAATGGGAGCTCTCATGGTAATTACAGAGGAACTACAAGTTTTACTGGGAGAAGTATGCCACCTTTGTGTGAAAGGGAAAAAATTTTTTTCTATATATGAGTAATAAAAAACTCAAGAAGTTTGGGGCTGGGAAGGTGGCTCAGTGGTAGAGCGCTTGCCTTGCATGCCTGAGGCCCTGGGTTCGATTCCTCA